GCTTTCTGGAATCCTTTTGCCTCTTTTTTTAGCTGAACTTATTATCTTCCCAAGATGTTGTCTTTTCTTTCCTAGTGGGGCCAGACATGCTTTAAGCTCCAGCCTCTTGTTAGATAAATCCTCTAATACAACAGGATATAAGCCCTTCTTTTCAAATTTATTATCATGTCTTACACTCCAAGCTTGGATGGTGCAGTTATTAAATGGAAACTCAATCTTATGTAAAATATTTCTATTTTTTTCTGCAATTTTGGCCTCATCATGTGTTAGTATTATTTTATCAGGAGAGAGATTGTAAGCCATGATGAGACTGGGATATAATGAGGCAAAGTCCAATCCCATTACATGTCTTCTCGTTTCAATCCCCTTTTCAGGTGGAAAAACGTACGCACCAGGATATTTTCTTTTTTCTATATTTTCACATACTCTTGAGTTAAATACCATATCACGTTTAAAAGAATAAGCGCCCAAAAGGTTTCGTACCTTCATTCCATTTGCACGATAGTGTGAGTCGAACAAAGATACATGAGCTATGGAAGTGACTTCTCTGTAATCATTTATTTGACTTAGCTTTACCAAAAGCTCTTGGCAACGTAATGCATCTATAATACAATAATTAGCTACTTCTCGCATTTTTCTTGCAGTTAAAGGAGAGGGGTCTTTTTTTGCCTCTGAATAGATTCTCCACATTTCATCATATGGCATGTCAGCTTTAGTATCGAGGCCACACTTTTTTAAGAAGAATTTAAGCGACCCTTCCTTTTCGACTTCAGAACGGGGATAACGTTTTTTGAGACACACTCAAACATCAATTGGTATGCATCCTAGCAGTTTAAGAAAACTGAAAAAGAAATCCTTTTCTGCAGTAATTTTGATCTCAATTGCTTCAATATAATCTTTCTTTTCCTCGATCTCCTCACCCGATCACCATATGGTCACCTCTTTATCTGTATCCTTTTCTTTCCTTTCATCATGAAATTATTTTCAGATTTCACTTCTATCTTTTCACAATATTTCCACTTTAGGATTTCTTCCTTTGTTTTGAACTTTCCTGTCATTCGCTTCCATATCCATTTGAGTATATTGAGATAATATGCTCTCTCCATAATAAAACACCAATCATAGTCAGAATCATTAAATTCAACTTGAATATCAGAAGCAAATGCTCACCAGCAGAGAGCAAAAGCTTTTAGCAAATTTACTTGATTTCCTCATATGATTGTAACCCATCGTGGGTCTGATGCAGTTTCAACGTTAATAAGACAGATTTGTTTTAATGGTTTTGGATCATCTTTCCAATATAATGTCATACCAATCATAAAGACCTTATTTTTCTGTTCAAGAACTTCTGCAAATTCTTCCATTTGTGAGGCATATGTTTCTAGATCCCATGTAAGAATAAGAGTGCAATCTCGTAAGAGAGCTGAAATGGTGAATCGGTCACTTATTGTTGTGAAATCCTCTAGTGGACAGAAATCTTTTATAGACACGAAGAACTCGTGCAAACAAAGTAGGTTGGTCTGCTTACCTTTCTTACGTATATATTTGTTTATTATAGACCATCCAGAGAGTTGGATTCCATTTTCTCGAGCTATCTTTCGGTGGAATGAGTATAAATCATCTGAAGCAGTTTCAAAATTATTTACTTGGATAGCTTGGATGGCTTTCTTTCTCTCTCCAGTACCATTCGTATAAATTCGTAAATATGACTTTTTTTCAGTA